GGTGGGGAGGGGGGGGGGGGGTTAGTCGATGCAAACATAGGCGGCGGCTCGACGGCTCGGCGCGTGGCGCGATGCCACGGCCAAAGTTGGATCGCCCAAAGTTGGAGGCGGGTCGACTTTGGGCGCCGGAGACGACCGCCGAGGAGTTCGCCGAGGACCCCCCGTGACCCGAGATCACCAGCTCACGCTGCCGCGGCGCAGGAGTGCTCAACCGACGCCCCCCGCAAGGAAGGGCGGCTGGGCGAGGCCGCCCCGCCCCGCGGGGGGATGGGCGCGCGCAGCGCGTGCGTGCGGCGCGCGTGTGAGGCGCTCGTACCGCCCGCCCCGTACCCCCCGCCCCTTACCCCCTTGAGCGCGTGCGCACCGGTCGGTGTGGAGGCGGAAGTAGTTGTTGGCCTGCAGCGTGCGCGACGGGGGTGCGCGACGGGGGTGCGGCGCGGGTTGGGGCGGCGGAGCGGCGGCGGTGGCGGTGCGACTAGGGCGTGCGGCGCGACGCGCTGGTAGCGTGACGAGGGGCGACCTGTTTGCCATCCTTTGGCGTCTTGCCTCGCATCTCGGCCTGCGCGAGAGAGGGGGTGGGGGCGGGTGGGGGAGGAGCAGGAGAGAGGTGGGGCAGTCGGTTTTGAGAGGGGCGAGGGTGGGGGTTGAGCGACGTCGGGGGGGGTTCAACGCGCCTTGACGAGCCCGACGGGCATGCCGAAGCCGCGCGACTTTGAGCGGAGGCCGGCAGAAGACTGCAGCACGTTGTTGCCGATGTAGCCGCAGATGCCCAAGTAGAGCACCGAGAGCTCGGAGATGGTGTAGCGCTCGACGGGGATGCCCTGCGGTGCGCAGGGGGCGGGCTCCAAGGGGCGGGCTCGCCCCGGCAAGCGTTCGGCGAGGCACACAGCGGTGTGGCAACCCCCCCCCGCCAGGCGGCCCCTGTCGGTGGCGCCTCACGCTGCCGCACGAGTCGCACGGCCATCGGTCGCCCGATCTCCTCCCGCTCTCTCCTGGCCCTCTCCCCTCTCCGCAGCAGTCCTCCTCTGGCCGACCGCGCGCGCCTGCAGCATCGTGGCGCCCGTGCCGTCCTCGAGCTCCTCGGCGAGTCCTGCGGCAGGGAGGAGCTGGTTCGTCAGTGTGGCGCACCGGGTCAGCGTGGAGAGTGGCGACCTGCTGGTTGCGCGCGGAGGGTCGGTGGGGGAAGGGGAGGCTTGGAGGTGTGGCCGAGAGCGGCCGTGTGGTGGCGAGTTGCGAGGGCTGTGCTCTCGCGCGAAAAATGGGGGAGGGAGGGAGAGCTCCGCACGCGCCTCGAAGCAGGCCGCCCATCCCATCCTCCCGCAGCGGGAACACGTCGCGGCCGACTGCCATCGGTATCTCTCCGTCCCACTCGATGGCGCCCGAGCGCATGGCCATCTTGAGGGCAGAGTCGAGCTCGTCAACGTGCGAGGCAGAGAGCGTCCGCCTAGCATGATACCCACAGCGCTGGGACACAGGTGTGAGAGGGGAAAGCCGGGCTCAAGGCGGCGCACCCCCACCACGGGCTCTGCTGCAGCTGAGCGCCAGACCAGGCGGCTCGGCCGCCTATTTTGGCATACTGCTCGATGGCCCCTAGCTCGACTGCGCGGGCGACGGCCGATCGCGAGCGGCGGAGCGTCGTGCGCATGGCAGAAGAGTCCAGAGTAGTATCGGTGTCAGCAGGATGCTGTGCGGATGCAAAACAGCCGTCCCCCCCAACCAAGTCGTGGAGCGTGAAGGGGCGTGACTTGAGCACTTGAGCACTGGATAGGGCCGATTCCGCGTGGTACGGGACCCCTCGATCGTCTCGCCCTCCCTCACTGGTGTGTTCATCGGGGGGGGTCATAACAAACACGGTACAGGATCGAGGTGCACGCTGCCGAAGCAGTGTCGTCCCCCCTCTCCCCGACGGCGATGGCGGTGTGACCGATCGAGCTACAAGAGGAGCTTGGTCAGCAGGATCCGGGATAGTCAGATGCACTACCTCACTGGGCCTGAGACCATCGTACGACAGCATCCCGTCACCGTCTCGGATTTATGTGG